AGCTAGTTTAGCAACGGATGGCGCACCAACCATGATTGGGGTTAGAAATGGTGTTGGTGCAAATCTACTTGCAAAATAAGAGAGACGTGATATTTTTAAATTTGCTCATTTTCAGTGCATCATTCACCAAGAAGCATTATGTGCAAAGCAATGACAGTTCCAACATGTGTTAAGACCAGTTCCAGTCGCTATCACTTTTATTCGTGACCGTGGCTTAAATCATCGCCAATTTTTAATGTTTCTGGATGGCATTGGACACGAATTTGATTGTGTTCCCTACTACACAGAAATCCGCTAGTTCTGTCATAAAGTATTTGAGAAACTAATTGCACTGCGTGAGGAACTAGTGTTGTTTGTGAACAGGAAAGGGGAACCTGTTGAACATTTCTAAACTGACGAATGGGTTCAGGATTTGGTTTTTGCTGTTGATCTCACTGGTCACCTGCAAGACTTGAATTTGAAACTTCAAGGTAAATACAAAATTGTCATAACTGCGTGTGATGATGTGAGGTGCTTTCAAGTTTTATATATATATATATATATATATATATATATATATATATATATATATATATATATATATATATATATATATATATATAACTGTTAGTATTTCTTGTCCATAATGAAAGCTACAAAAACACCTCACTGTTCGAGATTTTCTGATTAAAATTTGTCATCAGTGATGTCATCAGTGGCAGTGGCAAACAAAATTTAACCTGACATTAATAAACTTTTATCCCAAAAAAGATTTCTAGCACAAGGACAATGAAAATAGTGCTTAATCAGAGAAGAAAGGAGAAAGAAGGTTGTCAGATCTTGTGTGGTGCACCAGCGGTCCAGCAGAACAAAGGATAATTGAAAGAATGTAAATTTAGATGTGAACCTGGCCTAACTGATGTCTTATAAGGAATATATTATTGATCTGATTGTTTTGTATAGGGTCAATCTCTTATTCAAAGCCCCAAGAAAAAAACATTTCTGTTAAAAAAATAATTCCCTTCGTATAAAGTATTGTTTAAATAGATTTTTACTCTTCAAAAAAAAAAAGTAAATATTTTTTGTGTAAATTTAAATTCTTATGACAGAACTTACTTAACTTAGCAATACAAATGTAAAGATTTTTTTTTTTGACACAAAATCTAAAACCATTTGCATAAATGCGTTATGAATATGGCAAATATATATTTCCTCTACTTAAAGAGCCTCAGGTATTTCTTACTATTAATAGTGAATAGTTGTAAAAGTGGTGCCTTTTTATGAAAAAAAAAATGCTTGCATAAGTGATTTAAAAAATTGGATTTTTCTCTTTCAGAAAAGAAAAAAGTAGCCGTTGCATCAGAACTTTGAATGGTCTAATTCAGGGGTGGGCAATCTTTTTCTACCAAGGGCCACATTTTTAAAAATGTGGGGACTGGCGGGCCGCATACATTTTTTTTACTCCCAATTGAGGAATTACAACAACAGTTAGCAATTTCTTGAATTAATTTACGAATAATTTTTTTAAATTTGTTATTGTCTTTTTACATCACAACATTCCACCACAAATGCACAATTGTTCTTAATGTGAAGCATTTAACTGTTTACATCGTGCATAATGTTCTGTAACTGTAGAACTAGCTTACTAGTTGTTTTGTTTTTTGCGACTGCTGTCAAATTACAGTCAGTGAGCATCGACCTGTTCTAACACTTCATAATTTTCAAATAAACGAAATAAAGCGTGTTCACAGATAAATTAGGTTCCGAATAATGTGAAAGCTTTGCAGCAAAGTTTTCTTAAGTATAGGAATACAGCTTCTGGCAGTCATGAAACTTCTGTGGGAGAACTCACTGGAATTACTCTTTCAGGTCATATTTTGCTTGGAGGTATATCATCTGGAGCTAAATCAGTTTCTGCATTAAATGGTGAGCTGATAGTATTTAAAAATAGTTCCAAGTCCTTAACGTCTTAAAATTACTTTCAGACTCCACAATCAAGGAATCCAAATAAGTCTTGTAATTTCATCCATTTCACTAGAAATAGTTTCACCTTTCAGCTAAGGAAAATGATCAAACCTGATTTCACTTGCTGGCTCGACAAATGGAATAACTTTGTTTGAAAAGATTTAAGATCCTTAGATCCACATACAAGTTTGTGTGTAATGTGTGAGTACGAATGACCATCAAGATAGAGTTTTTATATTACATAAATTCTCTTTATTATTGTTAGTTCTCATGCATATTTGTCTTAAATTTGGAATAAGGAAATCTGCTGCTGAGAACAAGGCACTACGCCTAACAGCAGAGTTTCTCGCCAAGGCTCTACGGGAGGACTAATCCTTTCAGTCTTGTTACCAATTGGAGTTCATTTCAGGCTGCTGAGAACAGTATAATTTGCTTGGAGGTATGTCATCTTGAGCTGAATCAGCTTCTGTATTAAATGGTGAGCTGATGGTATTGAAAACTGGTTCTTGACGTCTTAAAAATTGCTTTCAAATTCCACAATCAAGGAATCCAAATAAGTCTTGAAATTTCATCCATTTCACTAGAAATAGTTTCACCTTTCAGCTAAAGAAAATGATAAGACCTGATTTCACTCGCTGGCTCGAGAAGTGGAATGACTTTGTTTGAAAAGATTTAAGATGAACATACATTTCATTAGCAAACAAAACACTGCAATGTCTCCAATGATAAACATGAAGTCTGTCTTCAACTCTTCATTAGAAATATTAGTAAAAAAGTCACAGTGAATGTCCTTCAATGAACCTAACTATTTCTTCCTTGAGATTCTATATTCTTCTAGGCCAGCGGATACTACTGTGTAACCGAACATCGGAATGACAATTTTGTCTTTTTAAGGACATTTTTATGAGTTTCAGGAGATTTCCAGAAGCTTCTTGAAAACAAGGAGACCACAGGAACCCTATTATAAATTATAATGATTTGATTTAATAATTTACACCTAGAATTAGCGCGGGGCTTTTGAATCTTAGAGGTCCACTGCGGCAACATAGGCCTAAGGCATGGCCTGATGATATCCAGCTCGCGGTCAACGAATTTTCATCACGCTGCTGTTTTTTTTTTTTGGTTAACCTATAAACCTCTGTAAAACTGAAGTCATGTTCCAGAAGTCACCCAATAAAAATTTACTCAGCCCCAAAGATCAGCGCGAATAGGCATCCCTTAACGTGGTAGACAACTTCACATATCTGGGAACCATAGTATCAAATGACGCATTGCTTTAAACTACTTTAAAGAGAGGTTGATATGTGATCAGGGTTAGTCGTGCTTTTGGACGCCTCCAAGCGAGAGTGTGGCGAAATAAATCGCTCCGCCTGTCTACAAAAATCAGTGTCAACCAGTGATTCTCTCAACCCCTCTATGTGGATCTGAGATATGAGTACTTTATAGAAAGCAGCTAAGACTTCTTGAACGACTTCACCAAAGACCGCAATACAAACAGCGATATTCTTGCAAAATGGTATGAACTTCTTATAATCCGACATTCACGCATTGCAGGGCACTAATTCCTAGTGGGGGACGAGCATATTTTTGGCAATGTTTTTTTTTTTCTAGTAAGCTGAAAGGTTGTTGGAGTAACAGAGATGCCTCACAATAAAGCTTCTTTAGAACACTAACGCGATGTTTTTAACTCTTAGGAAAAAATGCGCGATTTTACTTTGTTACTAGGTGCACGTTTTACACTATAACGTAGAGATTTTGCATCACTTGATGATTCTTACTAAAGCCATAATAATAAGGCTTGTCTTCGAGTCCGAAGATTAGTGAGGAATGCAGTATTTCCCGCCCCAGCTGTGACCTACATATTCTACCACACCAGGGCAAGCATAACCATTGTCCGCAGGTGGTCGATTTAGAGTTTCTTTTCGCCGTCTGTGTTTGTCCTCGGCAGCAGATTTTCTTTTGGTCTCAAATGTGTATCCCGCGTCCTTCGTGAGTGACCTCCGGCTGTTTCGTTCGGAGGCTGCATAGAACCAGGTGCTCTCTTCTATGTCAGCCAAGGAAAGTTGACGCCTAAGCTGGTCTTTAAAGCCTTTCCGTGGGGCACCTCTGTTACGTCAACCACCTATTAGCTCACCAAAAAAAAAAAAGACTGCCTTTGGCATACGTTCGTCTCCCATACGGGATACGTGTCCTACCCAGTGCAACTGTCGGACCATAAGAAGACCCTCTATACTGTCCATACTGTTTGCAAGGACATCGCTGTTTGTAGTGGGGTACTGCCACCGTATGTCCATGATCGAGCGCAAGCATCTTTGGTGAAAGCACTCAAGAAGTCTTAGTTGTTTTCTGTATAGTGTCCATGTTTCAGATCCATAATGAATATATTAATTGCAATATTAAATGTCAGAAAGTAACCATTTTAGAAGTTACACTGCAAAGGCTTTCTTCCAAGCCTATAATAGCCCAATAGTTTTACACGAAAAACAATGTAAAACGTTAAGACGTGAGCTGTGGTTTTCTATAGGCCTACTGTTTGGGGGGGGGGGGGGGGGGGGGACTTTCTATTCTAATCGCCATGAGATATTAATAATCTGATAAGGCTTCGTTATCACACTATCATATAACGTAATGCATGAGCTTCACTCAGCTCTGGAAGAAAAACATGCCATATGAAAGATAGCCGGCTTCTCTACCACCAAAGCGAAAGCCACTTTTACCTGTGATATATGTGAACGGGAGAGTGTCTCCAAAATAGTACCCCACAGCCACATGAAAAAGTGATAGAGATGAACCATAGTCGTTCTACGACTGGAGGAGGCCAACTAACTAATACACTATATACATATATAGTAATGCACAGATTTTAAGAGTACTTTTTCTTTATTAAATTACCAATACACATTCTTCATTTCTTATAATAGACACTATTTGTAAAACAACATAGGTGCATTTTTTTGTGCGCGTACATATTCAAAGTGTTTAAAACCAAAATATTATAAAATTTAATTTAAATATTTGGAAATCATAAATGCGATTATAAAGCACAATGATGCCATAGATGAAATCTGATATAATACATGTGATATTGACTGAAGGGAAGATTTTAAGGTAAATACATAATGTTCTCTTATTGTGTATCCACACCTAACCTACCCCTCTCTCCGCGTGCATATGTGTGTGTGAAGTAAAACATTAATGTATTGTGTGCACGTGCATATTTTTCCTGAAATTATCTATTAGTTGTTTTTGTTATATGCTAACCTTTGTCTTGTATTCCTGGATCCTAATGATCCATCATACCAGGGACGCAGTGGCGTAGCTAGGGTGGGATGAGAAGGGGGGAGATTTTGAACATACCCCAGGGCCCTTAATTAAGTGGGGCCCCCAAATGAGTGTTTTTTACTTTAAATATTAAATATTTCTCAAAATGCAGGACCCCCCCCCCCCCAAAGAGGCCAAGCTCCCCCAGCCCCCCAAATGATGGCAAATTCCGTACTACGCCCCATGCAGGGACGTGTTGTATCCTTGCAAAAAACTAAATGTACAGGATATCAAATATCTGATAGCATACAAATAATCTAACAGTTCAATTTACTTAAATAGAATATACTCTTTTGTGGAACATGATATCACACACACACGCTACAATACATCAGCATCCCTTTAGCTAGAATGTTACATTTGTACAAAGCTTCTATCAACTCACTCTGTCTATTACACATTTTGAACACGTTATTTCTCCCACATCCATCAAGTTAACACGTTGCACAGTTATTCATTGGTCAAGAAAAGACAAGAATCAATAATAAAAATAAAAAAAACAATTAGTTAATAAAAAACTGAGAATTAATTGTTTTCTTTGATACCAACAAGTGGAATTAATCTTTCAGCATTCACATATACGGCTAAAAATGTGGATTGTGTTCCCCTTAGATATTGTACACGTTATTTCTCATCTTGGATCAGGCTGAAGCTTTGAACAATTATTTAATGTACCTAAAAAATATGAATCAATTAAAAATTAACCAGTTAGCAAATTAATTATTGGTGATTATTTCGGGAAAAAAGGGAAATAACTTCTACATTATTGAGATATATAGTTGTAGATTTGGAGTTCTTCTTAGATAAGTTTTTTTTTTAAAGTAATTATATATTTTGCTTGTTTTTTTTATAATAATAATTAAGCACTCAATGAGTGTTGATCGCAATTCCCTCTGTGGTTGCTGATTATGATTGTTTTGTCATTGCTGCCCCTCGCCCGGCACCCTCGATACGCCACTGATTATGTGATATATACAGTATTCAATTTTCACACATCTTTAGTTTACCTGATTTATAGTGATGCTATTAGTAGACTGAATGAATAGTATCTCGGAATATTAATACTTTATCTTTAAGTAGTTTCAATAGACAAAGCTTATGTAGGCCAAGTGGATGTTGGAATGTTATCAGTGCCAATTACACTTCCCCCTTCTCAAAAGAAAATATTTTGTCAATTATTCTACTTGAGGCGTCATTAGCAGGTTGAATACACGTATTTATGAACTTTGTCCCAATAATCAGTGTAGATATTTATGGTACATACACATCCACTCGCTAGTACAAACACACGTTTGATGCTGTGGACATAGTGTTGACGACCCCACCTCCCAATTGACACATCTTCAATCATATTCTCAATTAACCACATCTTCAATCATATTTAGCCTGAGCAGAATATTTTTTCTTCTTTATTGTAGCTTTTAGCAAAGGGGGGGGTATTTTTCTAGGGCTTGGGGACAGGAGAATTTATTCAATAAATGTATACCTAACCTGAGTACCACACTTACAACATGAAGAAGAAAAAAATAATGGTGTCGTAATCACACAATATGGAGTATATCAAAATGATACAACGGAGGTGAACACATCATGGCATATTCAGAAGTTGAGTCTGATGACCAAATATCCACTTGTGTTCCTGGAACCTATCATTTCCTTTTTTGAAATTCAGTATGCCTCTTCATATTTTAAAATTAGTTTGTGTAGCCCCCCCCCCCCTTCCGAATATGGTAAGGTTCAGTGCGGTAGCGTTGTCGTAAGCCCAGCCCTGGCAAGCTCTAATTGTTCAATTATAATCATTTGCACTACATTCGTTTGAAAGAATAACAATACATCTGATCACCACAGTGTCAATATGGAGCCAATGTGTCCAGTGTTAATTACATTTATTGTCTTATTTAATTTATCCTTCCTTGATTCACTGATCAAATGTAACATCGTCAGTCGTCAACATGAACGTTTTGTAACAATATTAATTTCAATGTAAATATTAAATTATTTGTAGGTCACAGCTGGGGCTGCGCAGCCACGGGAAATACTGCATTCCTCATTAATCTTCGGACTCGAAGACAAGAATTATTAAATATTTAAAGATTGTCAGTTCTAAATTAAACATCATCTTCGATATGTAAAGTCTCTCAGCATTTGGTAGACATCCAAATATCTACCATGCTCTAAAATGAAAAACTGAGCGTTGAGTCTTCACATAGACTAATGGACAGTGTGATAGCCTTGTTTGAGATAGCACTCTGTAGTGGGTAAAGTGCTGACAGATGTGTAGTGCTTCAGCAGATCTTCAATGCTATCAAAGAGGCGGTCACTCTTCAAGAAAACTTTCTCTCCTTGCGAGTAAATCTTGAACTCTTTGACGTGTAGGTTTTTGGTGAGATACGCCAGCACCCTCTCATCTGGGTTTTGCCTGGACCTGCGTATCAGGTAGGTGCCGCTGAGCTGTTTGGCCTGGAGCTGACATATGATATGGTTCCTGTCTGAGCTGGTGTCCTCCACCGTGCACAAAGCTTCAAGCGAGAGCCTCTCCTCACCCTGGGGTAAGACATAAAGGTCCTCCTCTTGTTGGGCTTCTTCTGTGGACGATCCCGAGCACCTTATTCCAGAATCCTCGCTGGAATTTGTCGATTTGATCGGATTCTTCCTGGGTATTGGAGGAAAGATGTCAGTGGGAGGTGTCTGATAAAATTTCGAATCTTGAGACACACTCGGTCGTAGTTTTTCAAAATGAAACGGTGGAGGTGGGGGATGCTCAGGAGGTACATCGTACAGCCATGGAGCTTTCATTGGATCTCCTTCACTGGTATCAAGATGTTCTCTCATCTTGGTCAAGTTCATATAATCTGGATCTTGGGCTGTTTCAGTTTTTTTCACGGGTTCAACGACTTCGCTGTATCGCGGAGGCACTGAAGGAATCCTCATTATCTTTGTACTTCCTCCGCGTTTTTTCCCAGATTCATCTTCTTCCTTTACTGAATCTAGGGTCCGCAAAGCATCGACAGACTCTTGTCTTTTCGTTGATTTAGACAACATTCTTAATTTGCCAATTTCTTCTGCCTTCAAAGCTTCTGGTGATGAATACGATCTAGTGGACTTTCTAAAAATCGGAAATTTTTCTTCCATGTCAGAATCCGAAGAACTCTCTTCTTCAGACGTGGAACTTATCATGTCCTGCACTCTAGATCTGGAATCGTAAATAGTCTCTTCTATTTTGAGATATTCATCCTCGTCAGAGAATGAATGTGGCCTGTGTGGCACGATGTCCAGATTGTTGGCGATGTAAAGCTGCGCCCTGATGGCGATCATCCATTCTCTCCTCTCTGCGTCGCTAACGCAAGCAAACTTCTCCGGCTTCAGAGACGCTTCGTTCTGCTCCGGAAGAAGGGCGAAACACCAATCGTGCTTTTTGGACGTGACTCGCTTCACGCGATTGTACCCGCGGAGGGATACGGACTGTGACTGTGATTTGGATTTCTCGTCATGATAGACGTAGAGGGAATCTCTCAGTAAGACGATGAAGCGGTGCGGCCATTTTCCAAAAGTTATGGTCGGATTCTTTCTACGGATTATCCCGTGTTTGATCTGGGCGTTGGGCAGCGAGACGATGTCTTGGGCAGAGATGCCAGCGTCAGATACTTTTAATGTCACAAATGACGTCATGCTGATGATGTCAAATTTGATCTCTTTCAATCTGCAATACAAAACAAAAGTAGGAGACAGCAGTCAAACAATACATTAATTTAGTTAAAAACTGTTTGTTTGTTGCACGTATTTCGGACGTTCTCTCGGAATTGAAAATTATTAAATCTTAGGCCAAACCTTCGACAGGAAGAAGGTGGGTGGCGGCGGGTAGGGTTCTAAGTTCTAAACTAGAACCATCGAAACTAGAGTTCAGTGCGCGTACCTTATGATTAGTAGGCAGGCATAGCCAATCATTAAATAGAAATATAATTATTGTGAATTCTTTTTTTTTCTGACTGGAAGAGAGCCAAGTCAATGTCTATGTAAGACATTGCTATTTTCGACGTGTCTAGCACTCCGGGCGAATGGACTAGAAGACATGGCCAAAGGCAGAGCACACCGGGACCCCCCGCCATTTTCATATGTTGTACCAAGCTAACCGTGCAGGATTCGCTATTATTATAACGGCCCCTTGAGGCACATGGATTATCGTGGAAGCTCTCTTTCAATTCCGCACCGTGCAATGGGAAAGCTCTTGCATTCCCTTGGACACTCCCACAGGAGTTTTGCTTTGCTATTTATTTAGCCTAATCACTACCTCAAACGATCCTTTCCACCCGAGTGCCACGTTAAGGCAGAATAGCGTACTCGGGCCTGACTATGACCTACACATTGTGTCAATTCATTTAATTTGTCACTTAATAAGTTTTGGGTATTCAGCTTTGAAGATAATTACGTCCTAGACCAAAAGTACCATAGGACAGCAGGTAGTGGAGGGCCGTGTTCAAACCAGGGACCACTGAGACAACAGACCTGATTACATACCACACAACCAGAAATGCAGATATTTACTGTGGATGCGCGTAGTATTTTGTTATGACGGCATATGGCCATGTGCTACGGTCTTGTGAGTGTGCTGTCGTTGTGCGCTGGCAGATGTGATGTTTCTCGTACCGTATAGATTACAGACGTTACTGCAGAAAAAAAAAGATGATTACAAACTCTACTAAGTCGTTAGTTTTCCTGGATTATTTAGGCGACCCATTCCATTTTCTATTGGTCATTAGCCATAGGGAAAAAATAACACTTGTGAGATTTTGTCCTAGCATAAGGAATAAGAAATGTGCTTCTATCTTTGTGTCTTTCTGAGCATTTTATTAGGTTTTATTTTTCTATTTGTTAGTTATAGTTCAGTGTTTCATATATTATAGCTACTGAAGTGTCTCTAAATTGAGGGATTTTTTTGTTTACTAATGGTGTTACTCAAATCCAGGGGTCTCAAACACGAAAACAATTTTGTGTGGCCCTCGGCCACCTCCGCGAATTCAAAAAAATTAGATAAAATTTACAATGACCACATATAATCAGTGAAGTGATTTACAACTGCACAAATCAGTAAATGAGGTGTCCGCCCACTGCAAGCGAAGATTCTGTGAAGGCAAGCTTTGTTGTTAGCGAGATGATAGCAAAGGCAGTCACCAAATTCCATGAGCGTACTTGTAGTGGGATTTTGAGTTTAAAAACCCTCTCCAAACTTTTTAAATGATAAAACCCCCTCTTCCATATAAGACTAAAGCATACAACAGTCACCAGATTCTATGAGCGAAGCCAAGAGGGGGTTTGAGGGCTGTAAGTTAAAACCTCCTCCAGTGAAGGCCAGTTTGTAAAAGAGTGTATGCTTTAGGCGTGTGAAATTATCTGCCCCAAGAAAAAGAAACTCTTCGAAGGCATAAGTTTGTCTGCGAACACAGTTGCAAGCAGGATCACCGAGTCAGCCACAAATGTTTAACAGCAACTGATTGCCGCTGCAAAAAACTTTGTAGCATATTCCATTGCACTGGATGAGTCTACTGTGTAACAGACACCGCATACTGTGCCGTATTCATTCGTTGGGTCGACGAAAACTTGAACATTGTTGAAGAGCTATTGAACTTACTACCCATGAAAGGAACGACGACTGGACGCGACGTGTTTCAGGAACTGGAAGCTTGTATTGACAGGTGTGGGCTACCGTAGAAAAAAAACTTGTTTCAGTGGCTACGGACGGTGCACCAGCAATGTGTTCAGAGAAGGTTGGTGTTTTTGGATTAATGGTAGAGAAACGGTATCAGCTCAGCTTGGCGGGACCTTTTGCAGCCATACACTGCATTCTGCACCAAGAAGCACTCTGTGGCAAAAGTCTACAAATGAAGAACGTGATGGATGTTGTCGTGAAGACGGTGAACTTTATACGTGCACGGGGTCTCAACCACAGACAGTTTGTGTCATGTCTAGCTGATTTAGAAACGGAATACGGAGAGTTGCTGTATCATACGGAAGTCAGATTGTTGAGTCGTGGAAAAATGCTGAAGAGATTCTTAGAACTGAGACGGGAAATAGCATTGTTCGTGGCAATGAAAGACGGAGACATACCTCAGCTCAGTGACCCAATTGTTTTGTCGGATCTTGCTTTTCTTACTGACATCAAGCAACATCTCAATGCACTCAATTCACAACTACAGGGCACAAAGCAGCTGATTACCGTGATGTTTGACCGCATCAAATCATTCAGATGCCAGCTGATTTTGCTGGCAGATGGAAACCTGGCTCATTTGTCTTTTCTACAGAGCATTACGGTTGAACCACAGCGCCTGAAAGACTACGTTGACATTCTCTCCGGACTACCGCTTTCAGCAATTCACTGGTCTCTCAAAGTTTTTCCTTTTTGCCACTCCGTTCGCAGTTGACTTGAAAAACGTTCCAGAGGAAGTCCAGATGGAACTACTGGACCTGCAGTGTGACAATGTTCTGAAAGAAAAAAATACGCTGTTTCAGATTTCTACCAGTTTCTTTCCAGAGAGAAGTTTCCAAACTTATTCTGCGCAGATGCTAGAATTCTAGCGATGTTCGGGAGTACGTACGTTTGCGAACATTTTATTTTTTTAAAAAGATCAACAAAACAGCATTACGATCAAGACTGAGTGATAAGCATCTGAGAGCAACCTTGCGGCTTGCCACTACACGCGACCTCAGGCCTAACGTCGATGGTC